CTGGTCCAGGGGATGCGTGCCTTTCTCATGCAAATGGCTGCCTGCACGGGGAGAGCCCCTTCAAAGCCTCAGCCCGGAGCTCAGCCTCGCCGGCGGAGCTGGGTGAGGGGCCGGAGGAGGGGTGGGGGGCACCCAGCCGGCCCGGCTGTTGCAGTCCCCTTGCCCAGCAGCAGCTCTCTGCACCGCTGCAGTCCGACCCAGGAGCAGCTGGGTGGGTTGTTCCCGCCCGGCACGGCTGTGAATGGTGCAGAGATTTCGTGTTTGGTCTGAAAGGTGTGGTATAAATAAAATATATTATTATTAACACCTTCATCATCATCTGCCCTGGCAGAAGAACGACTAACCATGAAAGCCGTTGCATTCACTGGCACCTCATGTAATATTAACCGGGTCACGTGGGGAAGGCATGCAGTGATTGAATGTGAGCATCCTGCTCCCACGCCAGACCTCTGCTGCAGCTGCGCGGAGGAATCCCTGCCCGGCCTGGGGAGGTGAGAAGGGGGCTCAGAGCCATGCCTCTGCATGCAGTGCCTTTGCCTCTAGTAAGCAGTCACTCAGATAAATTGCTCTGCAACAAAAAGCCACTTGGATCTGTGAATGCAGCTCCAGAAAGCCCTGCTTAACCTCAGGAAACGCAGAGCATGTGTGCTGGTACACAGCAGCCCCGAAGGGTTTGAGCCCCCATCTTGGGAACTGCTGGAGGGCCACGCAGCTGGTGAAGCTCAGTGAAGGGGGATTTGGACCTGTGGGAGCAGAGGGGATAGTCTCCTCGTGTCTGATGCTGGCTGAGAGGTGGTACAAGCTTCTTGCCATGCATGGGGAGAGGATGCTGAGACAGCTGCACCTTGGTCCTGCTTTGACAGCTTTGTTCTGTGGACAACAGCTTGGCTGAACTGGCGGTGGGATTTGTCTAGCGAAGAAGACATCCTCTGTAGTCTCTGAAGGCTGCTGCTTGTCTGGCACTGCTGTACGGGGAGGTAACCTGAAGCTCTTTGGGCTTATGGATGCAGCACTCCAGAAAGCTGGGATGAATTTCTGCTTCATTCTGTGAAGGATGTTCTTGGCTGTCCCTGCAGAAAGCAGCATGCGCTGCAGCGTTGCTGGCTCTATGGGGAGAGTTTACAGTAAGCCCTCTGAGACAAGTGCTGAAAAAATTTAGGTCTTGGCAGTGCTCATCTCTGTTTCAAGCCAGAGCTGGCTGGGGTTGCAGGAGCCCCTTGCAGAGCAGATCGTGGCTCTGCATGCATATTTTCTTTCCTGGTTTGTAATGTGCTATTGTTGGATGGAGGGTGCCCATGTGAGGATGCTCATTATCTCTCAGAACAGCTAATAAGGAACAAATGAAGATTAACACTATGTTGGTATAGATGAAACAGCATATTTCAGTCCCCTGCCCGAGAGTGGCATCTCTGAGTCACAGTGCCAGGCATTTTGAGGGGCTGCTAGCTGATAAGAAAGAGGAGCTACTCATCGCTGTATCCACCCCTGCATTTCAGGCAACCGTATGGCTTTTATTTTTAAGCTGGTTTTTGGCTAGCTCCAATTTTCTCTCTTTAGTCATGAACAGATGCACGTAGGTCCTGTTTCTTGCAAACCTGGGTGCCAAGTGGGAGAATGACTCATGCAGTGAAGGAAGGCTGAATCTGCAGACACACAAGCCTTGGGTGCATATGTGTGTGTGTGTGTGTGTGTGTGTTCGGAAGTGCCAGACTGTGGGTCTCTGGGGTGTCTTGCTGGAGTATCTGAAAGGTGTCGAGTGCTCAGAATTGATAAAACTGAAGACCTGGAGTTGAGGGAACTGAGGCTTCTGTGTTTTGGTTGGTTTTTTTTAATTGTCATACTCAATGACAAAGTAATAGATGCAAAAACTAGAAGAATAATCACCCAAACAGAATTTCCTGATTCAGTAGAGACATCTCCAAAGAAACCTGGAGATTAGCTGAGTTTGGAGCACAGCAGCTCTCCTGCCCTGCTGGGCAGTGCTGACCATTGGTCTCCATTTGTCTCCTGGGGTAGGGCAGAGGCTTCTGCAGCTGAGGCTGTGAGCACTGGCTGTTACCCACTGCCAGAGCAGCTGGTGAGCGGAAGTACCAGTGAAGGTGCCAGGGGCTGCTCCTGCGCTTTGGAGTTGGAGCAGAAAGTTAATGAATACGAAAGCAATTTTGATCTCATTAAGAAAATGAGGTTCTTGACTTAGCGCATCCCTTCTCTCAGCTCCTCCCGCCAGCACAAGGGTCTTTCCTCCTGTGGTCCCAGGTGGTGAGACTACGATTCCTGGCACTGGGGTGGGGATGGTGGTGGTTCTGCAGGATATCCAAGGGGCCATGCTCCACTGCGCACTGCCGCTGCAGGCTCTCGCTGAGGATCTGGCTGGCTGCTGAGAGGAGCAGCAGGTTGCTATGATACAGTTTGCTGTGGCAATGTCTGTGATGAATGGAGCCAAAACCACCTCTACAAAAGGAGCATTCCTGGGCTGGGAGGGGGCAGATTTATCTGCAGTGTTTATGTAAAGCTGAGGACCGGCAGGGAGAGGATGTGTGTGGGAACGCTTTCCTCCAGCATGTGCTGGGGGCCCCTGTCTGGAGGCAGATACCCTTATGTGCATGAGGGAGAGGACACGGCTTGGATAAAGGACCCAGCAAATCCAAGCATGCAGACCAGTGCTGGAGCTCACATCCCATCCAGTACACCCACACCAGGCACGAGGCTGAAAATTCAGTTCAAAGGGGAGCTCAGCGCTACTAAGCTCAGTGCCGCCTTCGAATGCGGCCTCATCCTCAGCGGGAACTGGGTCACCTTGCTGTGCTGCAGGAGCATGGGAGGGAGCAGTTCACTGGTGCCAGCTCTGCCAGTCATGAACTGAAGCAGCTTGAGCCTGAAGTGAGGTCAGAAATCTCTACGCCTGGGATGCAGGGCTGCCCTGGCTCACTGTACCTCCCTGTGCACCAGCCTGCATCCCCTGTCCCCAGAGCTGGCCAAGGCACCACAGGGACTGGCTCCTTTCCATGCAGGGAACATGACTTTACCTCTAGGAAGAGGGCTGGGCTCTGCAGAGATCAGGGTCTGTTTCTGCTGTGCTGGATCCCAACTGCTTCTCTTCCTGGTGACTTTGCAGGGACAGAGACCCAGGCTGCGGCTTCTCTCACTGATGGGAGCAGGGGTGCAGGTGCCTTTGCTCCTGCGGGCTGGCAGTAGCGTGGCTGTCTGTAGAAGCTGGAGATATCTGTAGCGGATTTTGCTGAGAATCCAAATGCACATCGAATCCCAGGGTGCCTGCCTGGGAGACTCCGTGAGAGCAGCGGGGGCTGCGCAGGCACGGCTGGGGCTGCGCTGGTTGGAGCGTGCCCTGAGCTCTGTGCTGTGGAGGTCCCAGTGGGGGCTACCACTGGTATCTCGCTGTGAGCTGGCGTCAAGGGGAGAGTGGGTGGCCAGTCTCCGGAGCCGGGCAGGGTTTGGGAAGTCAACACATCTCAGCCCTCAGCCTGCCCTGTATGGGCTCTGGGTGAAGGAAGGAGCAGTCACAGCCAGGTCTGCTCTCCTGGCTGAGCCTTGCAGAGGGATCTGGGGTGTTGGCAAAACACCTGGCCTGCAGAGCTGTGCTGGAGGGGCCATACCCGCTCTGCGCTGTACATCAGTTGTGAGCCCCCGTGCAGACAAGAGCCAGTGTCAGAGCCCTGAGGAGAATCAGCCTATTCTCCTCTCATGCTTATCCCAGGCAGATTCCCATCCTCCCGGAAACATAAGCCACCATCATCCATAATTCATCAGGTGCTGAACTTCATCAAGGAGCCACCTGACACCCGGGCTGGGTGCTCCACCCTCCTCCCAGGGTGGGAAAGTGCCGGGTCCGGGAGTCCCGAGGGGCCACGGCAGGAAGCGCGTCCGGTTTCTTCGGCCTCAGGGTGGGCGATCCTTCTTTCGGAGGAGGCAGATTCAACAAGGACTCTGGTGTCTCCGCTTCCCCGTTTCATAAATAAACATCTGCTTCTCATGCCTCCAGGAAGTTTCAGCCATTGTAAAGCCAAATATAAAACCCAAACAGGGTTTTTAAGTAGCAATGAGCTGATTGCTCCATTACTGTTTACTGAGGTATCTACGATCACACACCGAACGCACTTAAAAACATTGTGGGACAATAACTTTAATGCCTGAAATTTGCATCGAAGGTGTGTGCATGTGCATGCGTGTGCGTGCGTGGCAGAAGCTGTGCAGGATTCAGGCTGGGCTCTCTGCCTGCTCACTGAGAAATCCTGCAGAATACAGACTCATCCCCTCCAATTTATGGCTTGTTCACCAAATCCTGTCACATCTTTTATGTACCAAAAAGAATCTGTCTGACTTTTTCCAGTACAAATCCAGAGCAAAAGGCAATTCTTTTTTTTGCCTGTCTTAAATTCTCACAAGCTGTGTGAGCCACCTCTCCTATATAAAGATAGCAAGAGAGGATAAAAAAACAGCAGCAGCATTCCCTGTCTTCTCTCAGCCACACCTTTCCACCGTTAGTGGTACGGCAACTGCATGACAAGTAATAGGATACATACGCAAGTGGTGCAAAGAGGCATGTGCTGCTCTACAGTATCACAGCCCTTCCAAGCTCCCTTTTCTGCAGCGAGCCAGCATGCCCTGGCAGCACAGCTCCACCGCCTCTTACATGCCAGATGCTTACTAGGGAGGGAGAGGGATGCAAAAGTTGCATTTATTTCCACTCTGCAAAGGGATACATGTAAGAGCACATGGACAAAAACCTCTGACTTCCACGCCTAAACGAAGGGACCAAATCCTCTGCAAACCAAACTCTGCTGAACCTAATGGTGTCTGGTCACTGGTCAAAAGCTTGGGTCAACATCCTTTGTCTCTGACAGAGCAGTTTGCATCATGTGGCAAGGTCTCAATTTCTTATTGGAATTAAAGATCTCTTTGCCTGGCAGAGAGGGCTGGGGGTCCTAGTCTGCCTGTTTGAGTAATAAGCAGTCAGTGGGATGAGACTTCCTGCTCACCAGTCTCCTCCTGCTCCTCTCTGCAGGCTCAGCGTATTATGATAACGTCCGTCCCTTGGCCTACCCGGACTCGGACGCTGTGCTCATCTGCTTTGACATCAGCCGCCCGGAGACCCTGGACAGTGTGCTCAAGAAGGTGAGTGCCCGGTGTGCCTTCTGGCTGGCAAGATGGGTCCTCTGCAGCAGCACGTGGAGCCGCCCTGGGGTCTCTGCTCCTTGGGCTAAAAGCTCTGGCCCTGTGGCCAAGCCTTGGCTGGAGTCTGTGTGCTCAGATGAGAATGGTGACTGCTGCTGATCCCTACATGGTCTGTGCAGAAAGCAAGATATTTCCATTTGAAAGGAGCCCAATGAATGGTGTAGCCCGTGGTAGCTTGCAGCATGTGTGTGGGGGTCTGTGTGTATGCACACATACAAATGTGGGGACAGAGAGAAATGTAGGGCATTTGTTCTGTTTTTCATGAAGACCTTGGAAAGTGTTGTGCGTCTCGTTAGCGTAACCACCAGGGAGTGTGCTGTGGATTGCTTGCAGCAGTTGAGAAGTGGCCCCTGGTGCCTGTTTCCATGCAAGTAGAGAGCTCAGTTTTTTGGCTGTCCCCTCAGTTCAGCATCTGCACAGTAAGAAAGACAGCAATCAGTTCCCTATAGCTTGACAACAAGAATAATGAGCTGTTGCACTGAATTTCAAGCCTCTGAATGAATAAAATGAGATGGCACAATGCCACTGGACTGGATAGCATGCAGGGCCCTGAACACCGTCTGCCCTGGCAGAGCTGACTGGCCATGCTCTGCGTTAGCAGCCAAGAGTTTTCTACCTGTGGGTTAGCGCCTTTCAGCTAAACAGATATTTCCAGCTGGCAGGTCTGGCAGGTCCCAGAGAGCCCCACAGGGCTGGGGATCTGCTGTGGAGCACCGCTGGCTGGTGTCCCAGCAGGTCCCTGCCTGCCACGCTCTGGGCTAGTAGGTGGCACCCAGGGAGAGGTCCCCATGCAAGGCTTTCCTCTGAGATGGCATCAAGTCCAGCAACTAAGGATGCTGCTCAGGGGAGAGGGTAAATTGCCTCCTAGCCACTTGCATCCCTTGGTCCTGGCCATACCCTGCTTCCTTCCATGAAATTCAGGCAGCTGTGTTTTCAGTGAGCTCTCACCGCTGTGCAGCAAAGCTGCAGAGAGCTCACTGGCGGCTGCATCCTGTCCCAGAGGCGAGTCTTGGCTGGCGTCTCATTTGTGAAGCTCTCTGAGACACCGAGGCGTGAAAAGCACTACAGAATAGTGATTCCTGTAGCTGTTCTCCCCAGTGAGCCCCAGGCTGCAGGGGCTGGACTGGCCACTGTCTGAACAAGTCACATTGTACTGACTGCCCTCTTGGCCTCTCCACATTTTGCCAAATGTTGTGCTGAAGCAAGTGCCTCTTACTCAGCTGCTGGGAGGGCTGAGAAGTGGGTCTGTGTCTCAGAAGTGTCCTGGTGAGGGGACAAAGACCCTTCACATAACTCGGTCAATGGCTCAGTGTTCGTTTCTAAAGCAGGTCCCGGGTACCAAGCGTGCTGGGTGGAGGGAGGCGTGTTTCATGTGGACTGAAAGAATTCACTGCTCAGCTTGGGAGTCAGCAGAATAATAATGCAAGCAAATCACTTATACCTTAATAAGATGCAAACCCATCAATAATTAGCTGGGGTTGGGATTTATTTATGTCTCTCTGCACACTCTTCATGTGAATCCATACTGCTCAGTGCGCGGTCTTCCCTGTGCAGCCTCACAGATGCTTTGAGTACTGTTAAGCAATGTCTTTTTGATATGGTGACTTAAAATAAACCCTAAATCACAGGGGATTTCTTAAGTGCCTCTGAGTACATGCCTTGTTTCCTTTGGTGCAGGCTTGCAGCCTATGGAGGTGAGGAAAATTCCTAAGACACCATGAAGTTGAAATGGGTTTCAGCTTTTGATATCAGGCAAATAAGGAAACTAACACTCCCTATTCAAGCCTCAGGCAAAAATGCTAATTCAGCAGAGGAAATCTTTATTATTGCTGCCCTTCTGATGCCTGGGCTGCTGGTACAGCATGTACAGTTGAAGGGAAGGAGCCATCTGAGAGAATGCAAACAAGCAGCTCTTCATTTCATACAAAGCAGGTTTTAGTGGGGTGGTGCCTTCATTCTGACAAGTCTTGATAGCGCAGCAAATCTTAGGCTCTTTAAGGTGTCAGTCATGTAAGAAGAGGGTTGCACCTCTGTCCATAGATCAGGGAGCCTTATGTCATTACAGCCAGCCATGACCTCTGCTTGGTAAGAAGAGACCTATAGCTCAATCCCTTCGGGGATTTTCATCCTTCAGGTAAATTAGGGTGCTTGAATTCCAGCTCCAAAAGAACTGCATCATCTTCCTCTTGTGGCTATGCTAGCCCTTGATGCTGTGTGGCTGTGACACCAGAAATCTCCCAGATGCTGTGCAGCCCGGCGTGCTGCCCAGCTGCTGGGGATGTGTGTGAGTCCTGGTGGACAAATGTCCCTGGCGGCAGGGAAGGGGAGTTCATGGTGAAGATACTTGAGCCCATCTCCTGGTGGAAAATAAGATTTTTCCATATTTTGCAGTTGCTTTGGTCTGATATTGGTTGAATGAAACTTGGGTCATTCTTGGCACTTCCTTTCCCCACCAGGTTATAAACACTGGGTTGTGGGCTTGGCTTTCTTTCCCCTTCTAATTGCCTAGGATATATGCTTAACCATCAGTTAGCATAGCAGGAAATTGCTAATTCCAAGTGACATCTTTAGCCAGGGGTAATCTCTATTTATCATCTGCCAGCTACTTCAGAAACACTAGATAAGTAACCAAGGTGTTGACACACTGATGGGGCTGTACAAATTTCCCCTGGGTGAGGTCACAGGTGATTGTTTTATTTACTGCTGTGGACACTTAGCTGCACACTGGGCATTCATTTTTGGAGTTCTGAAAGGGATCGTTAGTGCCAAGGAAGTGGATGTTTGCCCTGGCCTTCTTCCATTGCTTCAATTCTTTATTTCCCTGGCTGTAGCTACACTCTGAATGTCTTAATGTCTTTAACATGTGGCTCCCAATAATAAACAAATAATGAGTGTGTTGTGAAAAGACCTCCCCGCCAACCGTGGTTCAAAAGGTCCAGCAAGGTTGACCTTTGGAGTCTCAGATCTATGCACCAGACTGTGTGGTCATTATTTTTCCACATTCATACTCACGAGTGGTCTCCCGTGACCTAGCACAGGGAACTGCAGCTTAGATTTAATGGGTTTGCAGGGCATATCTGGAACAAGCGAGCGTAAAGTTATCCGAGAGGCACTCTGACCATTCCCGTCCTTGCCTCTGGCAGTCATTAAAGTGCCCTGATGAGGCTAATCAGTCTCTGAACAGCTGTGACCCCCGTTTGGAAAAGCCACACACACCAGAGTGCATGATCTTGGCCTCTGAAGTCTGCTTTCCAAACCCAATCCCATCAGAGCCTCATGTTACATTCCGAACACCAAAAGCTTGCTGTCCCTGTGTTTCCCGTCTTCAGCACAGTCTCCAGAGCCACTCCTGGCCTGCGTCCTCACTGAGAGCCCCCGTCGATCATGTTGACCACCATTGCCTGTGCCCCTTCCCCTCTTCCTGAAATCTGGGGCATGCAGTCTGCAGTGGGGCCAAAACCAGCCTCAGTGCTGGTGCCAGGCACCACAGGTCTGAGGCAAGAGACCTAAAAGCAGCATTGCAGTGGCTACCAGTAGCAGTCCTGCTGCCCTGACTGGTCCAGTTCTGGGTCCTGTACAGAGATGAGCCATGCCGGGATGGCTTGGCAGCGTGTGATGATGGTCAGGAGGTGCTGGGACCCCGGGCTGCCACAGTCATCATTCCTCTGTGGGAGAGGGAAGTGCCATTTGCTGGTGGGATCAGGAGAAGCTACAGACCAGACTCATGGGCTCTGCTGTGGCGATGAGGCACGGAGGATTTTGGCTGGATGATGCTGTCTGGTAGGAACTGATGGCATGAGTCTCCTGGCCTGTCCTTCCCTCCAGGGCTGGGGAATCTTGGACGGGGCTCTTGGCCTGGTTGGAGAGGGGCTGGGAGCAACAAGCTGAGACCCTGTGATTTCCTTTGTTGTTCCAACCTTGACCCTTTCGCAGACTGCCCGCTGTCAAAATTAACTGACGTGGAGGTGCCATCGGGCCTCTTGCAGTGTCTTGTACACCAGCAGCCCCTGACCATCTTCTCCTTCTTGTCTCCTCTGCAGTGGCAAGGGGAAACTCAGGAGTTCTGCCCCAACGCGAAGATTGTGCTGGTTGGCTGCAAGCTGGACATGCGGACAGACTTAAACACGCTCCGGGAGCTTTCCAAGCAGCGCCTTATCCCTGTGACGCACGAGCAGGTGTGTTTCAGCAACTGTCCCCATAGGGCTCAGGGAGGTGAGGCGGGCACTTTTCTGCAGGACCTACTAGTACAAGGAAGCTCAGCAGCAGATGACCCACTGTGCCCAGGTCTTGGTCTGAAGCTGGTTTGATCTTGGCTCATGGACTCTGAGCTGCTCCTGCTTACAGCACTCTTTTTCCCCAGCTTTGGCAGACCTTAACTTATTCCCGATGCTCTGTTGAACAGCCTCCTGGTTAGTAGCTGAAAAGTCTTTCCTCAAAGGTGGCGGACATGCCTGATTTGACAAGTTGGACTGGCTGAAGGGGAATGTTGTGCTTCTGCATCTCCTAGTTCAGTGCAGCTTCTGCTCCGAGTGACTCTTCTGGTCAGGTTCTGTGTTGGGACAACACTGCTGGGGGGGGGGCAAGCCACAGCTTGGGGGTCTGAGGGTCTGCTGCCAGGCTGCTGCGGCCACCAGTGGACACAGCAGTGTCTCCAGGCTGGCCCAAAGACCCAGACTCTGTGGTGCAGTGCAGGGGTGGCTGCGCTCTGGGTTGCTCTGTGCCTTGCTCCGTATTGTGCAGAGCAGGTCCCAGATGACTGTCCTGGTGAGAGGAGTTGTCCAGGCCCTCAGCTGCAGGGGTGGCACCGTGTTAGTGAGAAGGTGCAAGTGATTCAGGGTCCGGTGCCCGGTAGCACTGTCTGCTTGGGAGGCCATGCTCATGTGTGGTGCTCTCACAGATACTTGCACTTTATTTACTTAGAACTGATGAGTAAACACTGTGAGAGAGCCACTCTTGGCTGTGCCACGGTGCTCTGACAGGGCTGCCAGCACAGACAGGGCTGACGGTTATGTGAAAGGATGCTCCCTGCAGAGCGCTGGTGTTTTAACCTTCTTCCCTCTTCCTCCCACTCTCTCTGGACTGCAGGGCAGTGCGCTGGCACGGCAGATTGGCGCAGTGGCCTATGCAGAGTGCTCCTCCAAGGTCTCGGAGAACAGTGTACGGGATGTGTTTCATGTGACCACACTTGCCTCCGTCAACAGGGTGCACAAGAACTTGAAGCGCAGCAACTCCAAACGGGGACTGAAGCGGGCATCACAGATGCCTGGCAGGACGGACTTACTGAATGACACAGAGATCAGGAAAGACCGAGCCAAGAGCTGCTCCATCATGTGAAAAACAGGCTGTAAATAATGTGTGTGTGTTGTCCATTTTGTACAGTAACTGGCTGAGACAAGGGCATGGTGCTGGCTGCAGGAGCCAGCCCTCCTTTCCAAAGCCTTTCGCTCAGTCTTTAGGGCTGAGCAAAGGTCCCAGCTGCAAACTGGGGTGTCGAGTCGCCCCCCACCGTGGAGACTTCTGGGTTGGCTGCTGCTGTGCGGATTGCTTGGGGTGAAGGAACCACTTGGCAGAGGAGTATTCAGGTGCTGGAAGGTCTGTGACTGGGTGAAACAAAGTAAAAGGGAGCAATCCTGTGTGTGTCACCCTCCTGTACCCATGGCCCAGCCTCTGTGCCTGTGTGCAGCTATACAGAACACACAGTGTGGGGCAGTGGGCTCTGTGGGACCTGGGCTGGAAGGTGGGAGGTGGGTGGAGTTGCTAGCAGCAGAGTGCAATCAGGAGAAGGTATTCTTCCAGTCTTCCTTTAGAAGAGAAATGATGTTTGAGGTGGTGCTGCCTTTAGCTAGGCTGGACAGCAAGTTGCCATGGAAGGTGCAGGTCTGGGCCAGAGCTGGGAGGGAAGGCACCCTGGGAAGGAACCTTAACCTGTTGAGACATCATGGTAGTTCACCTCCTGTGAAGAAAATAGATAGGTGGCTCCTTACATGGTATTTTAGATACTTGAACTCCATTTGAAATGCAGCAGAGTAGATCTGGCTCCAAGGGAGAGGTCTATGCCAGTAGATGCATCCTGAGAATTGTGGTTTCCTTCAGCAAGCAAATGCCACTCGGGAGCTTGTGTCCCAGCTGCTGACAGCCTGGTTACTCATCAGACTGCTCCCTGCCATGGGCAGCTGTGCTTCCGAGGCACATAGCTTCCGAAAAAGCAGACTGCAATAACTATCCATATCCTGCTCTCCACCCATTTCCAGCTGCAGATTGTGTTGCATGGTGCTGTGTTTGTCTGGTACAGATAACCAAAAAGATTATATGCGTATCTGCACCCTGTCTCCACTGTGGCAGTGGGAGGGAAGGTGCTCCCGGCCCCTCTTGCCCTGCTGTACAGCCTCCTCCCAACACCTCTCATTGCTTCTGCCGCTGCCCTCTCTAAATGCCTTTGACTACAGTGCTAGCCTTGACTTAATGTCACAGACACTTTAAGGAAAAAAGAATCTGCTCCATTGCCAGATCCAGCTGTGTCAGTGGGCTACAGAAAACAAATAAACATCATTGGAAAATGCATAGTGCTTGACTCTGTTCATGTGTCATTGAGTCTCTCTCACATCATCATTGAGTGCTGATGCCTCAAACCAGGCATCCTCTCAAAATGTCTTACTGCCTAACTTCTATTTGTGTCCTAATGTATCTCTCTAGCTCTTGAAATACACTCACACATACACTTGAGTGAAAAACGCAGAGGACTTTTAGTTGCATGTATTCATTTTGGAGCTGAAACACTTGCCTTGAATAACCTCTCACTCCATCCTGAATCCTTTAACACTGTGGAGCATCTGCAGGTTGTCTATGCCTGATCTACCAGTCCAAGCTGACATGAGCTGCCCTTGCCCTCATTTTATCAATAGCTGCAAATGAAGATAGCTTTTGACTTAATATTTTGTGTCCACTCTCCCACCCAGGTCTTAGACTTCAGCTGCATCATGAAGGCTATTCGGGGACTTGGAGCAGCTGAATTACCAGCACAAGGAAAGCTCAAGCAATGACTGAATGCTGTTGTGCTGGGTGCAGGTTGCAAGAGCATGAAAATGCCCATCTGCAGCCTGGGAGGAAAGAAACTGAGCAAGGCACCATGCCAAGAACAGCCTTCAGCATCACGATGCTTTTCTCTTACTCTGCAGGGTCCCCAGAGCCTTTGCGAACATCAGTGAGCAAAACCATGTCCCTGCTTGAACAGTAGCAATCAGTGGCTCACAAGTGTCACTACCAAGTCCTCGTAACTTGTGTGCATTTGTTCTCATCATCCTTGTGTAATATAATCACTGTGTCTTCCTTCTTTCCACGTAAGCATAGCAGTATTTGGCAAGCACATCTCCCTTTTTCTGTCATCTAGCGTCTTTTAGGCTTTTGAATTTAATCCGGCAGTCTCTACAAATGCAGTTTCTGGTCCACTGATTAGTTTAAAGTCCCAGTGGCTCTATATTAACTTGTTAGTTCACCCTATAAGCAAATCTCCAGTAATGGGCAGCAATTGTCAAACCTGAGCTGTGACAAGTATAGGTGCGTGAAGGAATGGGCTGTTGCTACAGGAGGTGGCTGTAAGCCTCACTGAGATGTCAGCTGGGTGCCTGTTCCCCTCCAACTCCTGCAGAGAGATCTGGAGACATGCAAAAAAACCAGCAAAGCTTGCAGAGGCACTGCAGGTGTCAGGCTGTTTAACCAGAGGGGAGATAAGCAGAAGGGGCGATGGCTGAATTGTGTGACAGACTAAGCAGACGAGTTTGGCGGGAGAGAGAATACCCCATTTACCTGCACAGCGAGCTGGGAAGCAGCAGGATTGAAGTGCCAGGCGCTGGCTGCTCTCCATCCCTGGCCAGGGGCTGCAGCAGCAGCACCTTCCCCTCCCTCACTTTGGGAGGAGACGCGGCTGCTGGCGGTACTGTGCTGCCCTTTGTGCAGAGCTGGTCCTCAAAGGAGACAGGCTTGAGCTGCCTGGAAGCTCCCTACAATGCTGTCCTGTTTTCTTGGGTCATTGGTGCAGAAAGATAACTGGGCCCCCAGTGGCCCTGGCTGTTAGCTCTGCTGTGACCACAATGACGCTTCCCTTGCTGCTGCTCGTGATTTTCTTTTTGTACACTGAACTTGCCAGGCTCTTGCTGCTCAAATGGCCCTCCGGGATGGATTGTGGCAGTGTAAAGACACGTCTCAGCAGCAGCTCTGGAAGAACCAGTCAGAATTAATGGCAACCAAAACCTCTCAAGAGACTAAGGCAAGTGAAACAGCCTCTAAGACCATTTATCATGAAATATCTGGGCTGGATCCTTGGACAGGGTGAAATAAAGATGTTAAAGCCCATGGCGCTAAGCTCTTACATCCTCAGTTTCCATCAGCAGGCTCGTTTCTTGCAGGCACGTGAGCATTTCTGCTGTTGCTCGTAGCCCAAGTACAAAACCCAGGACAGCCGAAGGTGTTTTAGGGTGCTGACCTCTAAGGAAGTAATTTCCAGGAGGATGGAGCATTGCAGTCCTGTTGTGTCAGTGCATTTACTACATCCACCTGCCTCTGCACGGTACCCAACATCTCTCTAAACACTTGGGGCATTTGCCATGTGCCGCTGGGATCATCTTAATGTGGGACCAGGGCTTTCTTCATGCCTGCCTTAGAGGGGACAGCCTGACACACTCCCAGCTGACAGACTTGGAGGGGCAGGAGGCTGCCACTGGCAAATCCAGAGAAAGCTACTACAGCCTAAGGATTCCCAGCGATACGTGAACTGGAAGCCATGAGAGAAGAGAAAGGTGCATCCTGCTCGGAGAGGTGAGCTGCCAAAAGGCGCTGTGAAAGCTCTGGGCTCAGAAAAAGCTAGCCGCAGCACAGGCTGCGGGGAGAAAGCGACACCTGAAGGTGAGCGGTGCCTGGGGAACAGGCGCTTGGGTGGGTTTGTGATGCCAGTGGGCCTGTCCAGCACACACATGGCTGCTGTGCACACCTGCACAGCCCCAGCCATCCCACCAGCAGAAAGCCACGAGCACCGGAGTGCTGCAGAAACAATCCACATGGTGATGAAACCGCGGACAGCTGGGTTTAATGGCCATAGCCCACGCTGGGGCCAGGGGTCAAGGTTAACAGGCCCAGGACCAAATGCAAACTCACATTCATGAAGGGCTCCCCAGTGTACTGGAAGCGCGCAGAGATGTGGCTGGGTCACTGCTGACAAGCAAAGCTTTATAGATGAAAGCACAAGGCAGGAAAGAGCCTGACCTCTGTGACTCAGCAATGGGGCTGGGGGGGGGCAGAGGGCAGTGGGAGCCGGCAGTAATCACAGCTTTCACACTGCAGCCTGTCTTTTCACAGTCACTGAGAAATGCAGAGAACGAAGGATGCTGATGGTCCTTCCGACCTACTGGCAAGCAGTCAATACTCTGCTACTACCTCTACAGTGTATCTAGTGCCTATTTGCCCTCTAAAGTGAGAGGGATCAGAGAGGAGAAATGTGGAGCTGTAGAGGAGGGGCGATCAGGCAAGAGAGCATTTACAGGGCATTTACCTGGGAGTCTGAGCCCCTTAACTCCCTCAGTGCTGCTGTTGTCTGCAGGCACCATGTTTTTAGAGCACTGCAAAGGTTGTATGGGCAAGTGCCTGAATAAGTTAAACTGGACAGGGGGGATTAGTCTTGCTGGTTGTCCATACAGCTCTTGCCCCTGTGCTTTGCCTTGTCTTGGACAGGGCGGGAGGGAGCAAGGGCCACCACGGCACTGCTCCAAAGCAGCCTGAGCAGGAACAAATACAGGCTTACGTCCACATGTTGGAAGCAGTGGTGGGGCTCTGGCAGGGACGAGGATGTGTTGGCATCCCCTGTGAGCTGAGAGACAGACAAAGGGACAGCACGACACTTCCCAGGATCTGTCCTGAGGGGCCACAGCTGTGAGAGCAGGGCTGTGCAGGGCAGCTTCCCCTCCCCAAAAGCTTTAACCACTTGCATTTGCGCAGCATGCCAGACTAAACCTCCCAAAATGCACCTCCCAAAGCACACCTTGTGGAGATGTGGAGGCCTCAGCATCACCTGTTTCAATTTACGGAGCTGTTCTACTGTGTTGAATGCTGCTGTGCTGGTGTAGGTATGCTGGCTTATAGTGCTGTCAAGACCAGAGAAAACAGAACAAATGTGTTGCTCAAGACTTGCAGCTCAGAAATAGTGGGCTGCATGAGCAAGGTTTGTTACAGTCAGAGGAATCACAGTGCCCACTCTCACAAGATCCCCCCAAGTAAGGGAAGGAGGACATGAAACTCAAAATTCAGGCAGCTGTATTATATATGGTCTTCCCTCTGCTTTCCACAAG